GATTGTGATGCAGTATATAAAGGCTATAAATAATTTTACTTCTGTAAAGGTAAATATTTAAACATAGGCGAGCCTATAATGAAATAAGGATTTAGTAATAGGATTAAGTAGGAGTGGCGATAGAATCATAAGATTAGCCGATACCCAATAATAAAGACAATTCGGTTGAATATAATAAATTTTTCCCGAGTTGTGGGTTGATTTGATTTTCCTGGCGGTTAGCTGATCTAAATTCGTACAATAAAAAGGAATGCCTTAAATTGTTTTCGATTCTATGCTAAAAGTACATCACAATAGAATGGGTTTAACGTACCAGCAGCTGGTCATGCATATTGGTTGAACGCTCGGTGCAATAGATCATAATAGCATCATGAACTCGACCATCTGCTAACCAGTAATTTTCTAATTTGGTTCTGACTTTTGCTTCATCTTCTGTATAAGCAATTCCACTATTAAATTCGCTCCGTTAGATCCTCCATTATTTACACGAAGTTTTCTTTACTTGATCTTGTGATTTCGTTGCTTTTATTTAAAGATTGTTTGTTAGCAATGAACAAGTATTCAAAATAATAATAATAATAATAACCAAATACTCACTTGTTGATTGTAAATAACGAGTGCCTTTATTAGTACTCTTCACAGTCATAATTCCTTCATTAATTTCCTGGACAATAGCGCCAGCACAGCTCTCATGTAAGCAAGAAGGAATTTCAGTTACGTTAACTGCCCGTTAATCCATTACCACCAGCCATGTGCTGTATATTGTTTTTTTTTTTTCATTTTTTTTTCAGCATACTATCTTACTTCTTCCCATTTGGCGGAAGTTACGATACTCCACCAGTAATTATGATATATTTTCAATTTTCGTTTTCTCATTAGTATCAGTATCTTCAGTCTCCAGGGTATCTTGCAGAGTGTTTGATAGGTTGTCATAATTTCCCATAAAATAAAGAATCTGTGTTGTCTCCGTAAATAGTTGCAGGTATTAGAAAGAGTAAATATAGCATTACGCAATCAAAAATGATTCTAAAATTTTCTGCCACATGTGTTACTGTATGAAATTTTTTGACTGATCAAAAACTTTAGATGTTTGATTATTTCCTAATCTTTCCGGAACACAGTAACAATTTCCGGAATTTGATTATATCATATCTTAATAAGGAAAATTCCATTATCTGATTTTTTTGCTGATCGGTTTTATTGACATCTTTATACAGCTGATACGATGCTGAGTCCCTTGCACCTTCAACGCAATTCAATATATTTGAAAGAAAGTCTAAATAATTTAAGAAAAAAAGAGTATGACATTTGATCATAGGTTCTTCATTAAGATTCTATTGATTATCAGAATACATCTAGTCTGAAGTTTGCGATTTTTCTTAGAATTTCCTTCCGCCTGTTCTCTTGCTCCAATTTATAGTTCTAGACAAGAGTCAGACCTCAATCGAATAATGACTGGAATTCTCCTAAATCATCCGTCACAATTCCACGTTCTCAGCCTCTACAATTTCGGCAACCTCGGCGTTCCCCTTTCTAAGCTTGGCAATCTCGGCGTTCTCCTTTCTAAGCTCAGCAATATCTCGACTTCAAGCTTGGAATTCTGTTCTTCCTATGAATAAATTTTGGACTGTGTGTTTTCATTATTTATTTTCATTTAATAGAAAACCTTTATATTAATTTATTGATTAAAAAATTGCTATGAATTATAGATGGAAAAATCATATACTGTAATATATTTTTTAATATATGTACGTATACAGTATTTTGATTAATAGAAAAATTATAAAATATTTTTTTATAATGTATATAAACTTATTTATTTTTTTATAAAACCCAATTTAAAAATTTTTATGCCGTTACCAAATTTTAAAAAAATTTAAAATCAATTAAAACTATCTTTGAAGATACAGTATATTTTTTTTAATTTATAAACTGATGTATTAAAATATACAGTATTATCAACGATTTATTCATGACAATCGTATTATATTGGGCTTAAAGGGAGTTACAATATTTATATAACCGAATTTTTGACGCTTTATAATCAAGTTTCGGTTTTTCTTTATATTCTGTATAGATATTTTTATTATTTGCATAATAAAAATATCATATGATGGTTTTTTGTATTTTTAATATGCCGTTAGAATTATTAATTTAATATACAGTATGTTGCACTAAAATCAATTCTTATGATACAGTATTAGAATAAAGATTCATTTCAATGATATCATAGGATTATTTTTGGTATTTTCAATTTTTCAAATACCGCGTGTATTTGTTTATTAGTTTTATAATTTATTGTAATAATAATAATAAATTCGCAAACAATAATTTTTTAAAAAATTTTCTAAAATAAAAAAAAAAAATCAAATAAAAGGTTATTTGATTATTTTAAGAACATGTGTTTGTGTATAAATTACGAATTATTCCATTTTATTGCATATTTTGTGTATAAATTATGAATTATTCCATTTTATTGCATATTTTGTGTAACGGCCTCATCGATGAACTTACAATCTTATATAATTCATCTCATGTTTCATACGGTAAATACCGTTTAGATGAAAATACCTATAACTATCGATTCGGTATGTGATCGACGATCACCACTGTCACACGATGGCCTAATATTTTTCCGATGAACTTCACACCATTACAAGCCTATATATATTCTTTTTCCGACGAGTTATTTAATAGGCACAAAATTCAATATTGTGCTTATGAAGCCGAATTTCTTAAATCATTTCCATCAATATTGTTGAAAAAAAAAAAAAAAGACAATCGTATTGCCGTACTTGATTATTGGATTTTTGTTAGCGGAATATTAATTCCATAGCTTGGAATAGTAGATAGAATAATGATTCCAATTACTATTATTAGTCTTATTTATTCCTATTTTTATTTTTTTTTTTCGTTGAGATTTTATACTCTCATCTAATTGATGCATGAATACTCTTTCACTTATTTCCAAATAGAAGCGCATGTACTATTATGGTGCGTTGGGATGCATTATTATCTATTTTATGTTTGTCCGTAACAATTGTATTTTCCATGAGTTTGTAGGACTTTTGTCGGAAATTAATTGTGTTAAAAATTTTCAATAGAATTAATTCTATAATCAAAAACTACACGCTTTCATTCAAGATTTTATTTTTGCGAACCTATTTTTTTTTTTTGTTTTTTTTTTTTTTGAATAGAGTTTTATATGGTTTTTCGTTTTTATTCGCTCAAGTAACATGGATTGGCATTACTTGAAAAAAAAAAGAAAAATTCCGAAATAGATAATTCACTGCATGCAAATACGTGAAGCATTTATCGGTGATGGTTTTTTCCTTGATTTATATTATTTTAAGATATAACAATTAATTGTAGGGTTTCGACTCACACATTGCTAGTAAATATAAAATTAATTTACTTGTTGTTCGTAACTTGTATTATCTATCCATAGTTTTGTCATTGCGGGCATTTTTGTTTTTTTTTTTTTTAAAAAAAAGTAGGTCATTTCCATTGTTTCAAATTCTTTTTACATAACTGTTTGAAATTAGAGCGAGAGATTTGAATAATAAGAACATAAAATTCTAAATAACTATTGTTTGAAATCACTTGAAGTTTCTTTATGCACTTATTATAATTCAAATTAAAATATTCGCAGCGAGCAAAATTTAATGTAATGACAACGAATTAATAAACATGTCACCAGTCACATTTGCAAATTTAAAGGCTTCCACGTAACCAGGAAGGTCGCCTTTCCAATATTGCAATAAAACTTTGTAGATTTTATATTACCAGTAAGCCAAGGAGCATTGAATAAAGAAATGATAGTGTTGGAATGCGGCATGTATTTAATGTCATTCTTTGACAAGAAATGTCAGTCTCATGGAACCGGCGTTGTTCTCGTTTCAAATTCTTTTATAACTACCATTTGTAAAACTTCATTTAAACAATTCCGTCAGAATAATTACGTTTCTTTTTTTATTTAAGTTGGCTTGTCATGACGGATTCTAGTCTCCGTATCCTAAGAATGATGTGTTCGTATTCGAATAGCAGATTTACATCTGTTTACATTGACCGTCCGACTTTGGTAGAACAAATCCTTTGATGTTATTGTAAATCCTGAGACACAGTAACCATTTTGAAAGTTTCCACAAAATTCTCTTTGTTTCGAAAACATTTTCTTATTCAATATGACATTTATTAAGGCAGCAATTTACTTTATAGTTGACTAGAAAGATAAAATAGGATTCTCACAATAGATTTGTTGTACTTATGAGCGGAATAACTGTAGTTTAACTCACGTCATAAATGTATTTTTACCATCTTTTTAATAATTTCCTTCCCCGAAACCATAGCTATAAAAAAACGCGGCGTTTTAATGATACCGGAGCCCGGAAACGATTGTAAAAAAAAGAACAAAGATACTGTATTATGCTGCAATCATTTCTTTTAAAAAAACAACTAATTGTTTCTTTATTTGCCTTTGAATATTGCCAAATCTTTATCCTTCAGGGAGCACCAATATATCATTGTTTTTGCAAAGGTAAATAAAATTTATGCCATGTATAGAGGTGTTCCGAAGGTCGCACATTTGTAGCTTTAAAAAGTAAAGGAAAATGAACATTCCTATCTACAGTATAAATTAAAGTACCTCAATAGTTATTCAATATCGTTGTCTAAAATTAATCTGTGTATATTTTTATTGAAATACTTGGTTACACATATGACAATGGCAATATAAATGGAAATTTCTAACTTCAAAGAGGAAATTTCTAACTAAAAATGGAAATTTCAATGTACAAAATCTGCCCATACAGGTTACCAAATGTGTGATTTAAACAAAATGTTTTGATCCGTTCATTGTGGAATATCAATTTTCCGGAATGCTGTTATTATTATATAAAAAAAAAAAACCTTAAAAACGTCCTCTCAAGTCTCAAGTTCTCTACAAACCGTTGACCTAAAAGAACATTATAATATACAACAAACTAATCTTATATCAAATCATGAGCACCCCCAAAACCCGACAACCCTACGCAAGAAAAGCCTGCGAATGCTGTCGAGCTTCGAAGACGCGATGCTTCATGGTTTCAATCAATAAAGAAGTTAATTCACCAGGAAGTAGTTCCGAGGAAGAGGCACACGTATCAAACTATAGCGAAAAATTATCCGCCGAAGTATCAAGGTATCAAGGAAACTCGCACGCGGGAAAGTGTATCAGATGCCAAAAACGCAATCTTGAATGTATATATACTAGCGTATCTAAGAAACGAGGCCCAAAGACCAAAAATTCAAAGATGCTGGTAGAGAATCTTTTGGAACAATAACGCGTCTCAACGTTTTAGTTATGCAAAATATAGAATGCAATATAAAGAAAATAAGATTTTTACATAACAGTTATGCAAAATTGAGATATTGATTATAAAATTGTACATTTTCTATTTTATTTGTATATTCAACGCTATTAAATTTATTGATATTTACTTATTTAATAAAAATATTCATTTTTTTTTTGTTTATTTTAATGCACCCACATTTAAACCTTAAATAAAAATGTTATTGATCTCATTATATGCGATAGTGTTTATTAAATACACATGGATTCATTGTAGATGGAATTTTAATTGCGGGGGAAAAAAAATAATTCTAATTCTCTCTGTTTACTTTATCATCAGAACTACTCCATTTTAGGTCTAGTTTTTATCAGTAAAATACGTATAAAATAAAAATCTCCAAAAAGGGTTCCTCTTCATAGCAAACGGAAAAATACCGAGATACTGGATTACCGCGCATTCCGGGTGATCTCGAAAAACTCCGATATAAATTTATAGGCAATGTCAGTTAAATCAAACACATACCATATCGTCGTCTTCTTTTGCAATAATTTTACTTTATTGTATTTTAAGAAAATTTTTTCGGTGAATCTTTGATGTCCAAAGAGAAATAATAATGATAAACGCTTGTGCGTGGTCACGTGACACAGTTTCTAAATTATGTTAAGATCATCCATCACCTGGTGTAATTCCGCTATAATTCCGCTGATTTATTGATTCATTCCTTAGCCAGTATGTTTCAAATTTTCAAATTGATATGCATTTGCGTATCACGTTCTTTTTTCTTTCAATGGAAAATTGTAGTTTTGGTAGTAACTATTGATACCCTCATGCGTAACTTCTCACGTGGCGATTGCATCATGATTAAAATTAGTATCGATATTGCATGTGAAGGCATGAAAGAATAAAAGCATTTCCGTAGTTTTACAAAATTAATCGGAAATAATATCCGTAAATGAATAGGCCATCCGTTTGGAAAAGCTTTACCGCACTCCATCCATCTGCATTCTCCTTTTTCTTTAAATTATTTGACGAATGATTAAGGGAGTAATGATTCAAAAAAATTATCTTTGACCACATCTAAAGAGAAAGAATTATGGAACTCGATATTTGTTAAAAGCTTCATTCCTATGATTAGTTTGTTGATAAAACGATTATGAAAACTCGAATAGTATAAAGCACTATTTTACGGAATTTTCTCAAGAAACCTGTAACTCTTAAGATGGTTACATGCATAGTACGACAGGCGTACAGTTTCCATTACCATTACTGTAATGAGAAGATATTCCTATGTGGTAGTAAACTGAGATTCACTGTGAGACGTAATTATTTGTTCAAATTTACTCATACGTGGCATAAAAAGAGTTGATCCATGAAGTTTTGTACATTGATCATTTGCAAATTTCTTATCACGATAACCTAAAATTATAACCCTGGAAACTTGTAAAAAAAAAATTTCTATCCATTTGCACTCTAATGAATAGAAATAGGAACAGATCATCTCCTATTTGTCTGTCATTCGGAACATGAATATTGTGATGCTAAAAAAAAGAAAATAATATTTGTTTATGCTGTACATTGTATTATCTTATTTTCTAGAAAGAAAACCGGCATGACCCTCTGATAAGAAGGAAGCTGAACAAAGAAAATAAGAAAAAGGAATAACCCAAATTACTGTTTAATATGCTGATAACTTCTATTCAATTTTTATTATGGTAAGGCAGGTAACTTCTAGGAACTCTTGTCGTCATACAGCAGTTAAGATATTTAACGATTAACAGACTATAATGTGGACCGTCTGTTTATTAAATTCTCCTATTTTTCAATTACTGTAACCTCCTCTTGATTTATCAAAAGGTGATTCATAACCTCTTTGTTTAAATATATTTGGTCTGAATAGCAAAGAGTCAATTAATGAATGAATGAATATGGTCGAAATTATTCCGTTATCGATTACGATATTGTCATGGGGCAGCACGAACAGTCATTGCTAAGATTCGCAACGTGTCACTATTTCATCACAAGATCAAATCCTCGGTTGATCGAGAGAAGGCATGATAATGAATTTGGGAATGTAATTTATAATCACAGTATTTGTACATCCAATTAATTAACAAAGTGGTGAGGATTAAACTTTGTTATCAATAAGTGCAAACATAATTTGTCGCTTTATTTACAAGGTTTTGCAAGTACTAAATGTGCATAGGCTATACCTTTTTAAGAACCGCCGTTATACAGTACCGATTACAAGTTAAACCAGTATTCCATAAATGATGTGCGTACAGTACATATAAAACATAAAGGATCAAATGTACTGTGCTGCATATTGTTCATCGCACAATAAAGTTAATGTGATCACAAATATTTAACCATTTCCTATATGATACCACATTTTTCTAACGAATTGATTGGTGCATAAAAGAATTTTTAGTTATGCAAGCTGTATTAATACTGTAATTCGTAACAAATAAAATACTGTACAGTATATAGGTCTATCAAAATTCGATAAAAATACTAATTTTTAAATAACCATTTTTAAAAATATAAGGTAGATACTGCATAAAAAATATCCACAAGTTCAGAGAAAAATAAGATCATCCATTTTTTCGTGACTAATTTTAGAGAATGAAATCAAATATCAACCTTTAAAAAAATTGTTGATGTACTGTAAATAGAGAAAATAAATAGTGAATTGTGTTAAAGATCTTATGTACTTAATTTATAGTTTTTTTTTTTTAATATAAAAAATATAACAAAGCATTAAATTCAAATTTAATTTGTATGAAATCATGATATTATCGAGATATCATTTTTAAATATCCTTGTTACCCGATGCACAACTAATTTCTCTTTTTTATTTTACTTTCGAAATAAATTTTTCATATTATAGTCTAAAAAAATAATTTATAGTAAATAATTTAAAACAACGATATGATAATAAATAAAATCAAGAAGTTAATTGATTAACTATTTAAAAAAATTATCTAGTATTCAAACATATCTTACAAAATATTTATTACTTTAATGTATTGATTTATTGATTTTCAATATATGGTATATGGTATCGAATTAATTAAATTATAAAAATGTAAAACACTTTAACTATTTATTAATTAAAAGCTAAAACAACATTTTTCATAAAAAAAATTGTATAAAAAAATATTATTTATTTGATTTTGATAATGTTTTACTAATTAGTATAGATTTGAAAACGTGAAACTATTTTTTAAATAAATAATTTAAAATTAATTTATTTAAGCTTGAAATATTTAAAAAAAATTGAAGCTTTTTAAAATATTTATTTATTTATTTACATAAATAATTAAAATATTATTTAATTAACTTTAAATATTTATTAATATATAATTTAAATATAATAATTGTAAATTATAATATAATTAAAATAAGCTATGAAAAATTTAATTATATGTTATAACTAATATATTAACTTATATACAATTGTTTTGTATAATATATTATAACTAAGAAAAATATATTTATATACTATAAATAACAATAATAACTTGACTAATAAAAAAATAGTATTGTTATATAATAATCAAATAAAGTAAATAGTAATTAATAAATTAATCTTAATTAATAAAAGTTGCTCAAAAAATAATTTATAAAACTATAAAAGATTTCTAATACAATTATTGAAAACAAAACCATAATAAGTATAATAATTTATAAAATAAAAAAAAAACATTTTTAACTATCAGTAGCATCATATATAAGTACTATTTCAAATAGTAATGGACTTATTACTTTGTATTCAACAATATAGATAATAAAACGAACTATTTTTCTGTTTTAATTATAATATATTGCTACTTAATAATTTAATAACAATTAATATTTTAAGAAAAATAATTGTTTTCTTATATAATTATAAATATACAAATTTGTTAAAATTGTTTATATCAATTAATTTATAAAAATATATAAATTTGCTAAAAAAATCATTAAATTAATAATAAAAATAAAAATAATTTTATAAAAAATTAAAAAAAAATTAAATTCAAATAAAATATTATTAAATTTATAATTATATTGTTATTCAAAAAGGTAAAATAATTATTTTTATATTGCATATATGTTTAAAATTAAATATTTATTTTTATTTTTAACTACAAATAAATATAAAATACAAAACTTTATTAATTACATAATAATCATGTCATTATATTAAATATTCATTTAAATTAATATTAGCCTATCATATATAAAACTTTTGAAATAATATTACATTAAGTAGGTAATATTATATTACATCAAGTAAGTGATATCATATTATATCAAGTAGGTGATATCATATTAAAAATGATTAATAAATAACTTATACTTGTTTATAACAATTATATTAATAAAAAAAATAAAATTTTTAAATATTAGATTTTGGATATATTGTCTGAATCTATAAAACTATAATAACAGTTTTTTTTTATTGAAATTTTGTTAATTGGATTTGATATTGTTGCTTGAACCTATAAAACTATACAATTACTAATAAAGAGCTAAATAAGATATATAAAAAGTTCAGAATTTTCATATAAATATAATATTAGTATTGTTATACTAATTAGGAAAACTGTTGAAGTATTGTGATATAAAAATTGTTATTTTTGTTATTACAAATAGGTTTGAGCTAGATTTATTATTGCTATATTGAATTATTATTATATAATTGATTATTGAATATGTTTATCATTTGAAAAAATAGGACTATTTTTGGTTTTTGAAATTAATTAAATTTTTATAGAAAATAGATTAACACAATATTTTATATTAAATAAAAAATAGTTGAAAAGATGTAATTAAAACAAGTATAAGATTCAATAATTTTACTTAAATATAATTTTAAGAATAAATTTGCAATATTTAGAAATAATATGAAAATAATAATAATGATATAAAGTGAAAAAAGTCATATAAAGACAAAGTTATAAAGAAAAACTGCCATGAACCTTTTTCTATGCAAATAAAAAACAAGC